TTGTGTAGTCCTGATATAGTCTTGGTTTAGTCCTGGTTCAGTCTCTTTTTTTAGTCCTGGTTTAGTCCCTTGTTCAGTCTTTTTTTTAGTCCTGGTTCAGTCCTGGTTTAGTCCTTGTTTAGTTCTGGTTTAGTCCTTGTTCAGTCTTTTTTTTTTTAGTCCTGATTCAGTCCTGGTTTAGATCTGATTTAGTCCTTGTTTAGTCCCTGGTTTAGTCCCTGATTCAGTCCTGGTTTAGATCTGGTTTAGTCCTTGTTTAGTCCCTGGTTTAGTCCCTGATTCAGTCCTGGTTTAGATTTGGTTTAGTCCTGTTTTAGTCCTGATTCAGTCCTGGTTTAGATCTGGTTTAGTCCTTGTTTAGTCCCTAGTTTAGTCCCTGATTCAGTCCTGATTTAGATCTGGTTTAGTCCTGTTTTAGTCCTGATTCAGTCCTGGTTTAGATATGCTTTAGTCCTTGTTTAGTCCCTGGTTTAGTCCCTGATTCAGTCCTGGTTTAGATCTGGTTTAGTCCTGTTTTAGTCCTGGTTTAGTCCTGATTCAGTCCTGGTTTAGATCTGGTTTAGTCCTTGTTTAGTCCCTGGTTTAGTCCCTGATTCAGTCCTGGTTTAGATCTGGTTTAGTCCTGTTTTAGTCCTGGTTTAGATCTGGTTTAGTCCTTGTTTAGTCCCTGGTTTAGTCCCTGATTCAGTCCTGGTTTAGATCTGGTTTAGTCCTGTTTTAGTCCTGTTTAGTTCTGGTTTAGTCCTGGTTTAGATCTGGTTTAGTCCTGGTTTAGTCCTGATTCAATCCTGGTTTAGATCTGGTTTAGTCCTTGTTCAGTCTTTTTTTTAGTCCTGGTTTAGTCCTGGTTTAGATCTGGTTTAGTCCTGGTTTAGATCTGGTTTAGTCCCTGCCCCATACAAAAAAATAAATTCATCTTACAATTATGTTTTCACATTTAAACAAACAAAGAATAAGCAGAGCTCCATAAAACAACGTAGAGCATCTTAATAATCCAACAATAACAAGAACATGAACTGGACTTCATAAAAACGTGTATAAAACAAGCGATTAGCATCAGGCTAACATTAATGGAGATTTCCATAGACATGCTAACGCTATTAGCATCTTATATTTTGGCAAGAATTTAAAACTCTAAAACAACTTAAAGTGTCCTGCGGAGTGAGTATAACATGTTATAACATTACAAAACGTACACACACATGTTTTCATGGGGCCAAAAACAAATACAAAAAACAAAAAAACAGTAACAGAACAGTGGAAAAGTCTAGAACAATATGGCGGCTAAAGAAGCTCAGAGTGAACAAAACAAATAAACTCAAAACAAAAACAGAACAGAAAAGTGTGACGCTAAAAGTCTTTGTTAAACCGTTTCTATTGTGCAAAGTTCATACAAACATTTTAATCCTCAGAACAGAGAAAACGTCAAATGTGTCGCATAAACGAGTTTTCTTCGTCTGAACAAACAACAAAACTGTAACTGTGACAAAATAATTTAGTAAAATAAACCAAAAAAATCCTCTTGGTGACATATCGAAACAGCAGCGCACGATATCGATACTTTATCATCACATTAAACGATACGAATCCGTGTGTCGTTCGTTCATTTGTTTTTCAAAATAAAACCAAAAAAATAAAGAAAAGAAAATGAAAAAATCAACAGTTTTCTTCATTATTTGTCTCCAAAACCAAAATGTAAAAACGGAAAACGACCGTTTCCCGTTTACGTGACGTCTGTGATTGTGATGTCGGACTTTTGCGCCGCGTACGGACTGAACCAGGACTGATCCAGGTCCGGGACCAGACCGGGACCGAGGCCGAGACTGAGACTGAGATCAGGACTGAGACCAGGACCAGACCGAGACCGGGACTGAGACCGAGACTCAGACCGGGACTGAGACCGGACTCAGACCGGGACTGAGACCGGGACTGAGAGTGGGACCAGACCAAGACTCAGACCGGGACTCAGACTGGGACTGAGACCGAGACTCAGACCGAGACTCAGATCGAGACTGAGACCGGGACTGAGACCGAGACTCAGACCGAGACTCAGACCGAGACTCAGACCGAGACTCAGACCGAGACGGAGACCGGGACTCAGACCGAGACTCAGACCGAGACCAGACCGGGACTGAGACCGAGACTCAGACCGGGACTGAGACTGAGAGCAGACTGCCGAACCAGACCGAGACTGAGACCGGGACCAGACCGAGACCAGACCGGAGGCTCAGAGCGGGGTGTGGGTCGGGGCTCTGGTTCTGGTGCAGCGGGGTGTGGGTCGAGGCTCTGGTTCTGGTGCAGCGGGGTGTGGGTCGGGGCTCTGGTTCTGGTGCAGCGGGGTGTGGGTCGAGGCTCTGGTTCTGGTGCAGCGGGGTGTGGGTCGGGGCTCTGGTTCTGGTGCAGCGGGGTGTGGGTCGGGGCTCTGGTTCTGGTGCAGCGGGGTGTGGGTCGAGGGCTCTGGTTCTGGTGCAGCGGGGTGTGGGTCGGGGCTCTGGTTCTGGTTCTGGTGCAGCGGGGTGTGGGTCGGGCTCTGGTTCTGGTGCAGCGGGTGTGGGTCGGGTCTGGTTCTGGTGCAGCGGTGTGGGTCGGGGCTCTGGTTCTGGTGCTGGTGCAGCGGGGTGTGGGTCGAGGGCTCTGGTTCTGGTGCAGCGGGGTGTGGGTCGGGGCTCTGGTTCTGGTGCAGCGGGGTGTGGGTCGGGGCTCTGGTTCTGGTGCAGCGGGGTGTGGGTCGAGGCTCTGGTTCTGGTGCAGCGGGGTGTGGGTCGGGGCTCTGGTTCTGGTGCAGCGGGGTGTGGGTCGGGGCTCTGGTTCTGGTGCAGCTTTAGACTCTCTTTAGTTGTGGGCGTGTCCGTTGTGATTGACAGATTTAAGAGCCTGTTTTTGAAGCGTCGCAGATTCTTGCCGTGGTTTTGTTTCCTCCTCGTCCTCTTCTTCTTCTTCTTCTTCTTCGTCGTGGCTCGGCTCCAGACCCGACCACGCCCCGATAAAAACCTCAAATCACCAGAGTCTGAATCTGAAATGTGAGGCTCCGCGTAAAGAGAGCCCGGGAGAGATCACTAGATTACTCAGACGTGCAGGGTTGACGCCGTAAATGACGTCTGAAACCTCTTCAGGCAGGTTTTTAATGAGGGACTAAACCAGGACTAGACCAGGACTATACCAGGACTAAACCAGGACTAGACTAGGACTAAATTGGGACTAAATCAGGCCTAAACTAGGACTAAAGCAGGACTAAATCAGGACTATACCAGTATTAAACTCAGACTAAATTAGGACTAACCCAGGGCTAAACTACGACTAAAACAGGACTAAACCAGGAGTAAACTAGGACTAAACCAGGACTAAACTAGGATTAAGATAGGACTAAATCAGGACTGAATTGGGACTGAACCAGGACTAAACTAGGACTGAACCAGGGCTAAATCAGGCCTAAACTAGGACTAAAACAGGACTAAATCAGGACTGAACTAGGACTGAACCAGAACTAAACTAGGACTGAACCAGGACTAATTTAGGACTAAACCAGGACTGAACCAGGACTAAATCAGGACTAAACCAGGACTAGACTAGTACTAAACCAGGGCTAAACTAGGATTAAAACAGGACTAAACCAGGACTAAATCAGGACTAAACCAGAAACTGACTCGCTCCCTCCTCACAAACAGACCCGGAGTTTAGTTTTGTGTTTAGTTTCATCTCCAGAGCTCCGAACGCTCCGCTCCACCTCGTGATGTCACCAAGAGGCGGTTTCCACGGCGACTCCGGGACTGAAAAAAAAAAAAATAATAATTTTTTTTATTTTGCCGCTTTGCCCGTTTATCCGTCCGTGGTCGTGGTTTTCGATCACAACGCGGCCGAACCTGAACCCGAGGAGAGTTTTATCAGTGTTATTATGATGATGATGAGTATTATGGTCTGTCTGTGGTGTGGCGCGGTCTCCATGGCGACAGGTTAAACAGCATCATTTGAATAGGAGCGACAGTTTGAAGTCAACAGGAAACCAAGGAAAACCAGGACTAAACCAGGTCTGAAACAGGACTAAACCAGGACTAAACCAGGTCTGAAACAGGTCTGAAACAGGACTAAACTAGGACTAAACCAGGACTAAACCAGGTCTGAAACAGGTCAACTAAACCAGGACTAAACCAGGACTAAACCAGGACTAAACCAGGTCTGAAACAGGACTAAAACTGACTAAACCAGGTCTGAAACAGGACTAAACTAGGACTAAACCAGGACTAAACCAGACTAACAGGTCTGACTAAACAGGACTAAACTAGGACTAAACCAGGACTAAACTAGGACTAAACCGGACTAAACTAACTAGGACTAAAACCAGGACTAAAAGGACAAAACAGACTAAACTGGACTAAAACAAGACTAAACTAGGACTAAATAAAACAAGACTAAAACTAAACTAGGACTAAAACCAGGACTAAAACAAGGACTAAAAACAGGACTAAACCAGGACTTAAACTAGGACTAAAACAAGACTAAACGGACTAAAACCAGGACTAAACCAGGACTAAAACTAGGACTGACTAAAAGGACTAAAACTAGGACTAAACAGAAAACTAAAACAAGGACTAAACTAGGACTAAAACCAGGTAAACTAAACCAGGTAAACTAAACCAGGACTAAACCAGGACTAAAACAGGACTAAAACTAAACAGGACTAAACCAGGACTAAAACCAGACTAAAACCAGGACTAAACTAGGACTAAACAGGACTAAAACCAGGACTAAACGGACTAAAACCAGGTCTAAACCAGGACTAAAACCAGGACTAAAACCAGGACTAAACCAGGACTAAACCAGGACTAAACCAGGACTAAAACCAGAAAATTGAGTTTTAAGTCGTGTTCTAATGTCGTTATTTGCTCAAAAACAGAGCACTTCCTGTATCACCGCGTGACATCAGCAGGTGGAACAGAGCGTTTTCAGTCCGATACGGGACATTTAAAGACGTGATGTTTCTCTCTCTCTCTGTTTCTCTCCAGCACATCCAGAGCTGCAGTATTTTATTGAACCGCCTCGAAGCCGAACGGGACGAAATGAACCGGAAGAGCGGGATTCCCAAACCGGCCTCACGGATCCCGACGTTCCACAAGAAAACCACGACCGCGGAGGGCCCCCGGGCCAGACCCGCGGAGGCCCGAGAGCGCTCCCTGCCCGCCCCGTCCGTGCGCTCGCCGTTCCCCAGCTCCGACGTCGCCGCGGAGACCGTCGTCGTCGTCACGCACGCCGTCTCCTCCGCCGCCGCCGTCCCGAAAACGCTCCCGTCCGAGTCGTACCTGAGCGCCAGCCCCAGACCGGCGATCAGACCGGACCGGGCGTCGCACCAGCAGCTCCCGGACCGGACCAGGACCGGGACCGAGATCAGGACCGGGACCGGGTCTGGATCGGAGGAGGAGGAGGAGAGGGAAGAGGCGGCGGGAGAGAGATACGGATTCAGGAAAGAGGAGAGGAAAGGAAAGCGGGGGACGGAGACGGAGAGAGCGACGACGAAGAAGAAGAAGAAGAGGGAGAGCGTGAGGAGGAGGAGGAGGAGGAGGAGGAGGAGGGCATCACGGAGGAGCAGCCGCCGTGGGAGAACGAGACTCTGGAGCTCCGGGCCAAAGAGGTGAGAGGGATTTTAATCCGGGAAATATTTCAGCGGACTTGAGGATTACGTTTACATCGTGTTTTTTTTTAACTCCGACTGAATTATATTTTTCCTTCGTGTTTACGTGGAAATAATAATTTTGCACCGAGGTTTAGATGGAAAACTCAGTAAGTCGTCTTTATTTAATTCTGCTCAGCGTTTGAGGGGTAGTCCTGCTTTAGTCCAGTTTTTAGTCCTGCTTTAGTCCAGTTTTACTCCTGTTTTAGTCCAATTTTAGTCCAGTTTTAGTCCTGTTTTAGTTCCTGGTTTTAGTCCAGTTTTTACTCCTAGTTTTAATCCAATTTTAGTCCAGTTTTAGTCCTGCTTTAGTCCTGTTTTAGTCCTGTTTTAGTCCAGTTTTAGTCCTGCTTTAGTCCTGCTTTAGTCCAGTTTTAGTCCTGTTTTAGTCCAATTTTAGTCCAGTTTTAGTCCTGCTTTAGTTCCTGGTTTTAGTCCAGTTTTAGTCCATTTTTCATCCTGCTTTAATCCAGTTTTAGTCCTAGTTTAGTTCTGTTTTAGTCCTGTTTTAGTCCAGTTTTAGTCCTGCTTTAGTTCTGTTTTAGTCCAGTTTTAGTCCTGTTTTAGTCCTAGTTTAGCCCTAGTTTAGTCCTGGTTTAGTTCTGTTTTAGTCCAGTTCTAGTCCTGTTTTAGTCTGCTTTAGTCCTGTTTTAGTTCCTGGTTTTAGTCCAGTTTTAGTCCATTTTTCATCCTGGTTTAATCCTGATTTAGTCCTGTTTTAGTCCTGCTTTAAACCTGCTTTAGTCCTGATTTAGTCCAGTTTTAGTCCAGTTTTTTAGTCCTGCTTTAGTCCTAGTTCAGTCCTAGTTTAGTCCTGTTTTAGTCCTGCTTTAGTCCAGTTTTAGTCCTGTTTTACTCTAGTTTTAGTCCAATTTTAGTCCTGTTTTAGTTCCTGGTTTTAGTCCAGTTTTAGTCCATTTTTCATCCTGCTTTAATCCAGTTTTAGTCCTAGTTTAGTTCTGGTTTAGTCCTGTTTTACTCTAGTTTTAGTCCTGCTTTAGTCCTGTTTTAGTCCTAGTTTAGCCCTAGTTTAGTCCTGGTTTAGTTCTGTTTTCGTCCAGTTCTAGTCCTGTTTTAGTCTGGTTTTAGTCCTGCTTTAGTCCTAGTTTAGTCCTGTTTTAGTCCTGCTTTAGTCCTGTTTTAGTCCAGTTTTAGTCCTGTTTTAGTCCTGTTTTAGTCCAGTTTTAGTCCAGTTTTAGTCCTGCTTTAGTCCAGTTTTAGTCCAGTTTTTAGTCCAGTTTTAGTAGTCCTGTCTTTAGTCCTGCTTTAGTCCTGTTTTAGTCCTGTTTAGTCCTGCTTTAGTCCTAGTTTTTAGTCCTTTTAGTCCTGTTTAGTCCTGCTTTTAGTCCTGTTTTAGTTTTAGTCCTGCTTTAGTTTTAGTCCTGCTTTAGTCCTGTTTTAGTTCCTGGTTTTAGTCCAGTTTTAGTCCATTTTTTCAGTCCTGCTTTAATCCAGTTTTTAGTCCTAGTTTTAGTTCCTGGTTTTAGTCCAGTTTTACTCTAGTTTTAGTTCCTGTTTTAGTCCAATTTTAGTCCAGTTTTAGTCCTGCTTTAGTCCTGTTTTAGTCCAATTTTAGTCCAGTTTTTTAGTCCTGCTTTAGTCCTGTTTTAGTCCAGTTTTAGTCCAGTTTTAGTCCTGCTTTAGTCCTGTTTTAGTCCAGTTTTAGTCCAGTTTTAGTCCTGCTTTAGTCCTGTTTTAGTCCAGTTTTAGTCCTTTTAGTCCTGTTAGTCTGTTTTAGTCCAAGTTTTTTAGTCCTGTTTTAGTCCTGTTTAGTCCTAGTTTAGTCCTGTTTAGTTCTGTTTTAGTCCAGTTTTAGTCCTGTTTTAGTCCTGGTTTTAGTCCTGCTTTAGTCCTTTGTTTTAGTCCTGGTTTAGTCCAGTTTTAGTCCTGCTTTTTAGTCCTGGTTTAGTCCTGTTTTAGTCCATTTGTTTTTAGTCCTGCTTTAGTCCAGTTTTCCTGTTTAGTCCTGCTTTAGTCCAGTTTTAGTCCTATTTAAGTCCTTTAGTCCAGTTTTAGTCCTTTTAGTCCTTCTTTAGTCCTGTTTTACTCCAGTTTTAGTCCAGTTTTTGTCTCGTTTACATGAAAATCATAATTCTGAATTGAGTTTTTCGTGTCAAACTCGTCAAATCGTCTTTATTTAATCGGGGAAGGTTCTGATCGGACGGAGACACAAACGGATTTACGTCGTCGTGAAGAAAAAAACCACAAACTTGAGCCGTGTCAGTCTCGCGCCAGAAAAGTTGCGCAGATTTTAGTTTTATTTTTATTTTTTTTTTTGTGTGTAACTTTTATTTTAACTTTAATATGTTGAATTTGTTCCAGTTGGTTGTGTCTTCAACGGACGAGGACGAGGCTCCGGTCGCAGAGTCCGAGGTCCAGAACGTCGAGTCTCTGAAACCGGACGAGAAACACAAGGAAGAAAAAGACGAGAAAAGGAAGAAAAAGAAGAAAAAGAGGAGAAAGAAAAAGAGGAGATGGAGAAGGATGAAGATGGACCTGAGACCGAAGCTCCAGCGCAAACTGAGAAAACCGAGCTGCCCAACGCCCAGAGGACGAAGAAGGTGAGACCCGGTTTAGTCCTGGTTTAGTCCTGGTTTAGTCCTGGTTTAGTCCTGGTTTAGTCTTGTTTTAGTCCTGGTTTAGTCCTGCTTTTAGTCAGTCCTTTTAGTCCTGGTTTAGTCCTGGGTCAGTCCTGGTTTAGTCCTGGTCTGGTCCTGTTAGTCCTGGTCTGGTCTGGTTTAGTCCTGGTTTAGTCCTGCTTTAGTCCTGCTTTAGTCCTGGTTCAGTCCTGGTTTAGTCCTGGTTTAGTCCTGGTTAGGTTTAGTCCTGGTCTGGTCCTGGTTTAGTCCTGTTCAGTCCTGGTTTAGTCCTGGTTCAGTCCTGGTTCAGTCCTGGTTCAGTCCTGGTTTAGTCCTGGTTGGTCCTGGTTAGTCCTGGTTTAGTCCTGGTCTTGGTTTAGTCCTGGTCTGGTCCTGGTTTAGTCCTGGTTCAAGTCCTGGTTTAGTCCTGGTTTTAGTCCTGGTTTAGTCCTGGTTAGTCCTGGTTTAGTCCTGGTTTAGTCCTGGTTTAGTCCTGGTTTAGTCCTGGTTTAGTCCTGTCCTGGTTTAGTCCTGGTCTGGTCCTGGTTTAGTCCTGGTTCAGTCCTGGTTTAATCCTGCTTTAGTCCTGTTTTAGTCCTGGTTCAATCCTGGTTTAGTCCTGGTTTAGTCCTGGTTCAGTCCTGGTTCAGTCCTGGTTTAGTCCTGGTTTAGTCCTGGTTTAGTCCTGGTTTAGTCCTGGTTAGTCCTTGGTTTAGTCCTGGTCTGGTCCTGGTTTTAGTCCTGGTCTGGTCCTGGTTTAGTCCTGGTTTAGTCCTGGTTTTAATCCTGGTTTAGTCCTGGTTTAGTCCTGGTTCAGTCCTGGTTTAGTCCTGGTTTAGTCCTGGTCTGGTCCTGGTTTTAGTCCTGGTTTAGTCCTGGTCTGGTCCTGGTTTAGTCTGGTTTAGTCTGGTTTCCTGGTTTAGTCCTGGTTCAGTCCTGGTCTGGTCCTGGTTTTAGTCCTGGTTCAGTCCTGGTCCTGTCCTGGTTTAGTCCTGGTTCAGTCCTGGTTTAGTCTGCTTTAGTCCTGGTTTAGTCCTGGTTAGTCCTGGTTTAGTCCTGGTTTAGTCCTGGTTTAGTCCTGGTTTAGTCCTGTTTAGTCCTGCTTTAGTCCTGGTTTAGACCTGGTTTAGACCTGGTTTAGTCCTGGTTTAGTCCTGGTTTAGTCCTGGTCTGGTTTCTCTGAGTCATATTTTTCTCTGGAGTCTTACACTGTGACTGGGGCCACTCCCTGAAGGAGAATGCAGCTCCATCCACTCGGCTCAGACTGTCTGGTCCCAGTCTGGTCCCAGTCTGGTCCAAGTCTGGTCCAAGTCTGGTCCCAAGTTTAGTCCCGGTCTAGACCATGTTCAGTCCTGGTGTAGTCCAGGTTTAGTCCCGGGTGCAGTACGTGTGCATCTTGTCTGTTTAGATTTTCGGAATGAATTTTCTCAAGGTCGTTTCAAATTAAATGGTTCATTGAGTCACTGGTATTCAAGACCAGGACTGAACCAGGACTAAACCGGGGCTGAACCAGATCTAAACCTGGACTAAACCAGGACTGAACCCGGACTACACTATGCATACACGAGGACTAAACCTGGTCTAACCTCAGTTTAAACCTGGTCTAACCTGGCCTAATCCCGGTAACCCTGGTCTAAACCTGGTCTATCCCTGGTCTAACCCTGGTCAAACCTGGTCTATCCCTGATCTAAACCCTGGCCTAAACCCGGTTCTAAGCCTGGCCTAAACCCGGTCTAAACCCTGGCCTAAACCTTCTAAGGGCCTTATCCCCTGGTAAACCTGGTCTAAAACCCTGGCCTAAACCCGGTTCTAAGCCTGGCTAACCCGGTCTAACCCTGGCCTAAACCTGGTCTATCCCTGGTCTAACCCTGGCCTAAACCCGGTCTAACCCTGGCCTAAACCTGGTCTATCCCTGGTCTAAACCCTGGCCTAAACCTGGTCTAAACCCTGGTCTAACCCTGGTCCTAAAACCTGGTAAACTGGTCTAACCTGGTCTAACCCTGGTTAAACCTGGTCTATCCTAAACTGGTCTAACCCCTGGTCTAAACCTTGGCCTTAAACCTGGTCTAAACCTGGTCTAACCCTGGCCTAAACCTGGTCTAATCCCTGGTCTAACCCCTGGCCTAAACCCTGGTCTAACCCTGGCCTAACGCGTCTATCCCTGGTCTACCCTGGCCTAAACCCGGTCTAACCCTGGCCTAAACCTGGTCTATCCCTGGTCTAAACCTGGCCTAAACCTGGTCTATCCCTGGTCTAAACCCTGGTCTAAACCTGGTCTAAACCTGGTCTAATCCCTGGTCTAATCCCTGGTCTAATCCTGGTCTAAACCCTGTCTAAACCTGGTCTAAACCTGGTCTAAACCTGGTCTAACCCAGTGTCTGTGTCTGTTGTTTCCTGCAGAGGTCTTCTTGCTGCAGTTCTGCTCTACATTAGGTCTAAACCTGGTCTAACCCCGTGTCTGTGTCTGTTTCCTCCAGAGGTCTTCTTGCTGCGCTCTTCTCTCTCGTTGTCTCGTGCCGCTCCTCGTGCTCTTCTTCGGGGGTTTGTCTCAGCACCTGTGGCTCTACGGTCTCCCTCGCTCTGTGGCTCAGCTCTCGGCTCAGATGCACCTGCACTGGCTCCAGGGACTCGTGCCCCAGACCGCGCCCTGCTCCTCCGACTGCAGGTCAGTCCTCGATGAAAGTCCTCTGAAAAAAGTCCTCTGAAAGTCCTCTGAAAGTCTCTGATGAAAGTCCTCTGAAGTCTCTGAAAGTCCTCTGAAAGTCCTCTGAAAGTCTCTGAGAAAGTCCTCTGAAAGTCCTCCTCTGAAAGTCCTCTGAAAGTCCTCTGAAAGTCCTCTGAAAGTAAGTCCTCTGAAAGTCTCTGATGAAAGTCCTCTGAAAGTCCTCTGAAGTCCTCTGAAAGTCCTCTGATGAAAGTCCTTCTGAAAGTCCTCTGATAGTCCTCTGAAAGTCTCTGAGTCTCTGAAGTCCTCTGATTCCTCTGAAAGTCCTCTGTCCTCTGATCCTCTGAAGTCCTCTGAAAGTCTCTGATAGTCCTCTGAAGTCCTCTGAAGTCTCTGAATCCTCTGAAGTCCTCTGAAAGTCCTCTGATAGTCCTCTGAAAGTCCTCTGAGTCCTCTGATAGTCCTCTGAGTCCTTTCTGAAAGTCCTCTGAGTCCTCTGAAGTGAAAGTCTCTGATGTCCTGATAGTCCTCTGATAGTCCTCTGAAAGTCCTCTGAATCCTCTGATCCTCTTAGTCCTCTGATAGTCCTCTGAAAGTTCCTCTGAAGTCCTCTGATAGTCCTCTGAAAGTCCTCTGATAGTCTCTGATAGTCCTCTGAAAGTCCTCTGTTAGTCCTCTGAAAGTCCTCTGTAGTCCTCTGAAAGTAGTCCTCTGAAAGTCCTCTGTCCTCCCTCTGTTAGTCCTCTGATAGTCCTCTGAAGTCCTCTGAAAGTCCTCTGTAGTCCTCTGATAGTCCTCTTGAAAGTCCTCTGAAGTCCTCTGATGTAGTCCTCTGAAAGTCTGAGTCCTCTTGATAGTCCTCTGAAAGTCTGAGGTCCTCTGAAGTCCTCTGATAGTCCTCTGATGAAAGTCCTCTGAAAGTCCTCTGAAAGTCTCTGATGAAAGTCCCTCTGATAGTCCTCTGATAGTCCTCTGAAAGTCCTCTGATAGTCCTCTGATAGTCCTCTGAAAGTCCTCTGATAGTCCTCTGATAGTCCTCTGAAAGTCCTCTGATAGTCCTCTGAAAGTCCTCTGTTAGTCCTCTGATGAAAGTCCTCTGAAAGTCTCTGAAAGTTCTCTGATGAAGGTTTTCTGAAAGTCCTGAAAGTAGTCCTGTTTTACTCCTGTTTTACTCCAGTTTTACTCATGTTTTAGTCCAGTTTTACTCCTGTTTTAGTCCTGCTTTAGTCCTGCTTTAGTCCAGTTTTAGTCCTGGTTTAGTCCTGGTTTTAGTCCTGTTTTAGTCCTGCTGTAGTCCTGGTTTAGTCCAGTTTTACTCCTGTTTTACTCCTGTTTTAGTCCTGCTTTAGTCCAGTTTTAGTCCTGGTTTCGTTCTGTTTTAGTTCTGTTCTAGTCCTGTTTTACTCCTACTTTCTTTAGTCTTGCTTTAGTCCTGCTCTAGTCCTGCTTTAGTCCTGGTTTAGTCCTGCTTTAGTCCTGCTTTAGTCCTAGTTTAGTCCAGTTTTAGTCCTGGTTTAGTCCTGCTTTAGTCCTAGTTTAGTCCTGCTTTAGTCCTAGTTTAGTCCAGTTTTAGTCCTGGTTTAGTCCTGCTTTAGTCCTGCTTTAGTCCTGGTTTAGTCCTAGTTTAGTCCTGCTTTAGTCCTGCTTTAGTCCTGCTTTAGTCCAGTTTTAGACCTGCTTTAGTCCTGGTTTAGTCCTGCTCAGGACCATGAGTCGCTCGGACTGACCACAGTTGGCTCCACATTTGGAAAATCCGCCCACAAGAGTCGGTCGTGACTGAGGCGGTAAATGTCTCACCGTTCTCACCGGGAAAACAACGAAACACACCAGCTGTCAATCAAACCTGTTGCCAACGGTAGTGGGAGGGGCCTCGGGGAACGAAGGCGTCTGATTGGTCCGTTATTTCTGTTCAGATCTCGATGTAGGGACAAAGCAGAGAAATGAAATCGTAGCTGTTTTGATTTGTTTTTGTTGTTTTGTTTTTTTTTTTTACCTCTGACCCTTTTCCGCGCCCGTCTGCTCCCCAGGGCGTCGCTGGTGGAGTCTCTGCCCGTCGGCGTTTACCCGTCGGCCCCCGCCGCCCGCCAGACCATCGCTCAGAGCTGGCTGCGTCTGCTGGACCGCGCCAACCGCTCGGTCGACGTCGCCGCCTTCTACCTGACGCTGAGGAGCCGAGACGGGGACCCCACCGACGCGCAGGTCAGAGGGAGGGCGTCCGACGCAAACGGGGAGGGCATCCGACGCAAACGGGGAGGGCGTCCGACGCAAACGGGGAGGGCGTCCGACGCGATCTGACCGTTGTGTTGTGTTGTGTTCAGGGACGGTCGGTGTTTGAGGCGCTGAAAAAACTCAAATCTAAAGGAGTGAGTCTGAGGTTTGCACTGAACGCTCCACAGACTCAGACGGACGACGCACAAGAACTACAAGAGGAAGGTACGACGCACAACAACGTACACACAACTACACAACTGAAATACACAACTACACAACTGTAATACACAACTACACAACTGAAATACACAACTACACAACTGAAATACACAAATACACAACTGAAATACACAACTACACAACTGTAATACACAACTACACAACTGTAATATACAACTACACAACTGTAATACACAACTACACAACTGAAATACACAACTACACAACTGAAATACACAACACACAACTAAATACACAACTACAAACTACACTGAAATACACAACTACACAACTGAAATACACAACTACACAACTGAAATACACAACTACACAACTGAAATACACAACTACACAACTGTAATACACAACTACACAACTGTAAATACACAACTACACAACTGTAATATACAACTACACAACTGTAATACACAACTACACAACTGTAATACACAATACACAACTGAAATACACAACTACACAACTGTAATACACAAATACACAACTGTAATACACAACTACACAACTGTAATACACAACTACACAACTGTAATATACACAACTACACAACTGAAATACACAACTACACAACTGTTATACAACTACACAACTGTAATACACAACTACACAACTGTAATATACAACTACACAACTGTAATACACAACTACACAACTGTAATACAACTACACAACTGTAATACACAACTACACAACTGAAATACACGACTACACAACTGAAATACACAACTACACAACTGTAATACAACACTACACACAACTGTAATACACTACACAACTACACAAACAAACTGTAATACACAACTACACAACTGTAATATACACAACTACACAACTGTAATAATACAACTACAACTACACAACTGTAATATACAACTAACACAACTGTAATACACAACTACACAACTGTAATACACAACACACAACAACTGTAAATACACAACTACACAACTGTAATACACAACTACACAACTGAAATACA